CAGCATGTTTATGTGCTGGTGTGAATGATTCAATGGAGGCGGAACAGTGGATACAGAAAAACCAGGAGTTATTGAAAGAATGAAACCCTTGGGAAGGCAAAAGTGGATGAAATACAGAACACAAGTGCTACTTAAAATGAACTTAAAGGAGGGCACGTCCACCATTAAAAACAAAGGGAAGACTGGTGTATGTGATTCTATGTATTTGGTCATATGAAAATGAGGGAAGGTTTCAAGTCTTTTCTATTTTCAAAGAAGGTGAAGTAAGTCCAGAGTGAAGGGGTGAAAGCTCAATTTCTTTAATTGAATTATGACACATAGTAGGAACTGATCCACAATTTGATGAATAAATGATATACGCCATTCATTTGTTCAATGTAAATTTATTGGGCAGCTACTACAAAGCAGACACTATTCTGTATAAAAAACAGAGGGCAGTAAACAAGACTGACAAACTTTCTGTTCTCATAGAGCTTATATTCTAGTGGGAAAGAAGGGGAAACGGAGAAGGGGTGGAGATGAGATTAACAAATGATGTTAAGAGAGAAATCTTATGAAGAAAATTAAAGCAGCGAAATGGGGGTTACTATTTTAGACAAGAGTGGCCATAACCTTTATGAGGTAATGATATGCAAGCATAGGATTGAATGGAATGAAATAGTGAGAGGTTTGAACATCTGAAGACGAGGTAACAGCAAGTGCAAAGGCCCTGAGTTGGGGACATGCTTTTTCTTTTCTCTCTCTTTCCTTCCTTCCTTCCTTTTGAGGGACAGCATAGAAATTAGTATGGCAGGAAAAGAGGGAGTCAGAGTGGTGAGAAGTGAAGTCAAGGAAGAGGTCAGATTGATTTCATGCAGTGCCTTGTGAGCCACAGTAAATGATAAGTTTGAAATTATAAAAGTGCCAGGAAGTCATTGTGAACTTGATAATTGGGTAGTGCCATTTACAGGTTATGGTAAGGACACTGGATTCTTAAATACAAAAGAAAACATTGGGAGTTGAGAGAAGTGAATTGATACAGCATAGTTTATGTTTCCAAAGGCTCACTGTGGTTGCTGTGTGAAAAAATAGATTGATTGTAGTAGAAGCAGCGAGAAGGCTATTGAAATAATCCAGAAGAGAAGTGGTTGCTTGTCTGGGGTGATCTAAGTAGTGAAAAGTGCTTGGACTCTAAGATAGATTTGGGGAGTAGAGTCAATAGTATTTACTCCTGGATTTTTTGTGGGATGTGAAAAGAAACAGATTAAGGATGATTCCAAGGATTTCTCCTGGAGCAATTGGAGAGATGGAGGTTTGCTGAGAAGGGTAAGACTGCTTAGCGAACAGATGGTTATGGCTTTGGTGGTGCAGTGTAGACAAAAATCTAAATGGACTGGACTTCAGCCTAGCTTTTTATATTATGAAGACATTGCAGGACAGCTGACATGCTGGTCAGGATAGTAAAGATAATATTATTGTCCCTGCTGTGAAAATGTAAACTTTACCTGATTCCCCATCTTGCAGAAAAGGAAAAGAAATTATATCAGGACCACAGCTGCAAACCAGGTGTCAGGAGGTATGTTCATTGCTTCAGTAAATATACCTACCACATCTGGAACTAAAGTTGTGGTTGTTATCAACACCTGATTAAATCTGCAATGATTTACAGTAATTTATATACAAGATTTTTTTTTTTTTTTCTGGAAAACGGGTCCTTGCCTCACTAGATCTACTGTTAGGAGGTCTCAAGCTAAGATTTTTCCTATCACCTGATTTTCATTATTCCTTAATTGGACTGATAGATTTCGGTGGCACCCACAGAGGGTATTGGTGGATCAGGATAAGTTGAAAGCAAGTATCTGATAACCTCCAGGAAGTCTTAGTATTTTTCCTTCCTCATACCTTTGGAAAGTTTTGGGGGAAATTCACTATGTAAATCTATGCCTCATGGCAGGATTCTTTCTCAGTTAGGCCTGGCTTGGCCTTTCTGTCAGGTGAGAGATATTGGATGCAAACTTGCCTAGGTCTGAGAGTTAGGCAAAAAAATGTCAATCTCCACTATAGCTGGTTAGCTTTATGCCCAGAAGACCTAGAAGCTTCTCACCTGTGTAAGTCAAGGAATGCCCATCTATCTCATCCTCTGAGTACTTGTGGTCATTTAGTTATGGCCATAGATCCTTGCAAATTAAGATTTGGTTATTATCATTCTGTCCCTGTGGTTTATTGATGTAATTGTGCTTACTAGAATTTACCACATCTGTATCCAACTGTTCCCATTGGGACAAATGAACCAAATCAATTTTCTCATCCTTCTTCTTTATCATTTTTTTTTCAATTCTAAGGTCAGCAGTGACAAAGATTTTCAAGAATACTGTGCTCCCTCAATTATGCATTTTCTGTTTTTTTTTCTCCTCCCAGGGGTTAAGACTTGACTAAGAATGTTCCATATTGCAGATCAATTTCCATTTCTTTGAACCTTAGAGCTTACTCCTCTTAAGAAGTGCTTCTCAAAGTGCATCAATGTATGTTATCTGGGAACTTATTAGGTATGAAAATTCTAGAACTCCACACTAGGTCTACTGAATTAGAGACTTTGGGAGTGAGTCCCAGAAATTTGTGTTTTAACAAGACTTCCAGGTGATTGGTGGTAATGTTTGAGCTCATTCTCTTAGAATATGCCAGGGTAGGCTATCCAAGGCTACACTACTAGCGCCAGTAGCACCCACCCAAGGCCACCTCCTGAATCTGGGGAGTGTATAAATCAGGTCCAGTACAGTGCATGAACAATGTGACAGAGTAGTCATTGAAAGATATTTATGCAGGAGGGGAGTGAGTCTCACAAATGGGGGATCTGACAGTCCCTCAGTGTTTATTCTGTCAAAGGAAGGTAAGTGAGATTTGGAGATTCAAAATTCTCACCTTCATTCATGTCTGCTCAGATGTTCACATCTTTTATTTCAGTTTCCTATTCTTTCCCTAGCTTCATTACTTTGGTGCATAGTTTTGAGAGTTTGGGCATTTAATAAGTATTGCAACTATTCTTTTGATCTGAAAAAAGTCAGGACTACACAATGTTTATAACCATTATTGTTGTACTAGTGACTAAGTGATAGTTTACCTGATCTCCTGGTACCTTACCTTTCAGCTGAATATCCTTCCCTCTTAGCAATGGTGATGACTTGAGAGGCGGATTAACTATTCCCTATTTTACCCTGGCAAGAAGGCTATCCTAGAATCCTTTATGTGTGGGTGTGTTTCCTGAGTCCCGCTGTGGTACCAATTACTCTATCAGTAATTACAAAGATACAGGTTCCCAGTAGTAAATGGCATTCTCAGTTTAGGATAATTCTGGGAGGGGCTGATAAAGGGGAAATTTACAAAGATGCAGGGTATAGGGAAACCATAAATAAGAATGCAGTTTCTGGGGCTAGAGATAGTCCAGTCACTCTACCCCTAAGTTTGAAAGGACAAAAAGGTGATTACTAGATCCTGGAAGAGTTATATAGAAAAGGCTTCCTTGAAAGAAGTAGTTATCTTTGATCAAAGGTCATAGTCAATTTGAGTGACCCTTCACGAAGGAGCCAGTGGAATAGATACTTTGATTTCATTTTCCTCTTTCTGAGGTTCCTAATTGCACTCAATGAGAACACAGACAGCAAGGGACCTTGGGAATATAGTCTGTACACATTAGTCTCCCATGACAGTGAGAAGGATAGGATTGATGTTGGGATGCAAACAAAACCTCTCACACAGAAGTCCTTTCTAAGGTGACATTTGAACAGAAACATGAATTGAGAAGAATCCAGATAGTCAGAAGGGCTAAAAAGGACAATGGCCTTGCTCTCAGTGATATGGCTGAAGAAGAGGGCGTGAAGGAGGGTGTAGTGGTATCAGAGATCTCTGCTGGGACTTCATCATGTGCCACGTTGCAGGACATGGTGAAGGACTTTGTTGGTATTCCAGGTACCTGAGGAAGATCTTGGGGGAATAACATGATCTCACATACTTTTAAAAACAACATGCTAAAATGCCATGTGGAAGATGGATTAGGCAAGAAGAAGAAGCAGGGGAGCAAGGAGTTATTGTACCCTGAACAGAAGAGATGACGACGTCTTGCACTAGAATGTGAAGAGGATGAGAGAGAATTGGAAAGGACAGAAAACGGACTTTTCTTACTTTTGTTCTCCCAGTTTCAGCACCAGGTCTTTTTCACAGTATAGACTTAGTAAATGCCTGTGAAATGATGGGATTAAAAATGTTTTTTTTTTTTTTTTTCCTCAATAGAATGTTTCTCCTATCTCCGTGGCTAGGGCAGTACCAGTACAGACATAGGATAAATGTTACTTGACCTTGAAGCATTGGAAAGCATACTATGCATTATATAATTTGATAGCTTACTGGAGAAGGGTGAAGTCTGGCTGTTTATTCGGTAGTCTGTTTGGAAGTATTTGTTCTTCCTTCCCATTTCCTCAAGTTGGTATCCTCTCCAGCCTCTGGGATGGCATTCCCCTTCTCACCTCATGTTTACTGCCCTAATAGCAAGAAAACAAACTGGTTGAAAAATGGCCAAAGAACCTGAATATACATTTCTCAAAAGAAGACATGCAAATGGCCAATAGATTCGTGAAAAAAATATATCAGGGAAATGTAAATTAAAACTACAATAAGATATCAACTTATTCCTGTTAGAATGGTTATTATTCTTCCTTGTAATTCCTCTGGTGGAGGATGAGGTGGTGGTGTAAATTAAGCCTGAAAGGAGCACTGACCACATTATTTCAATACTCTAGTGAGACTACTTCTTTAACAATCGTCTTTTGCTTTTATAAACTTGAGAGAAATTCTTCATTCTTTGTTGCAATTTTAATGAATTAAAAATCAGACTTGTGTTGTATAAAATTAGCATGTAATTTTATTTTGATAATAGAAAAATAATAATAATTTGAGGCTGAGTTGATTTGTTAATCAGAAAGATAATTATGTTTCTGTAATTTAAAAAAATTTATTCTTTTTAAAACTAGATCATTATCTCATGGAATACTTCCTGGAGAAAGGAAATGTTTTCTCAGAGTTCCATTATATGAACGTCAAGTACGGTGTCCCAGCTTACCTTTGAAGTTAGATTTTGATAAATTTGTGGAAAGTAGGGGAGGAATACCAAGGAATACTAATCCTCGGATGTGGGCTGCTGAAATATTCATTAAAGATAAGATTCCAAAAGTACCCCCACCAGTAGTGAAAACTTCTGTTGAAAAGGAGATTTCTGAAAAAGTTGAAGAACCACCAAAACTAGAATTAAGTGATTTTTTGGGGTGTGATCTTCCACCAGAAGTCATTGAGCATTATAAATCTGAAGTGAAAACCTTGACTCAACAAATAAATAATAAGATACTTCCTGAAGTTGCATATTGCAGGCGTGGAGCTATTTATAGGCATCTGGGAAAGTTACAGAGTGCCATGAATGATTTACAGGAAGTAAGTTTTTTTAAAAATAAAAAGAACAATACTTACCACTTGCATTGCTTTTGATGATATGGTAATTTTTGCTGGAATTTTCAATAATGGATAATTATATAGTATGTGGGATTGTGAAAATGCAATTACTGGCATTTCCAAATAATTAGCATTAAAACACCAGATTTTTGTTTGTGAGATTGGAATGCTTTATTTTATATTATATGCACACAGAGCAACTGGGATTGATAGTGCTTGAAAAATTTATTCGATAGGATATCTGCCTTTAGCAAATCAACTTTAGTTAAATTTATGCATATGTTTTCTAGGCTATAATTTTGGAGCCAATGCTTCTCAATGCCTATTGGCACCGACATTTCATTTATCTTTTCCAAGACAGAATTAACGATGCTTTGGATGACTTGAATTATATAAGTAAATATAATAAAAATAATACAGGTGGGTTGTTAGTTATGTTACCTATATCATTATCTCAGCTTTTGTCATTTATTGTTATTATAAGATACATAAACCAATAGATATACATTTTGCAAAAATGGATGTGATTTTCCTTAATTATTTTTACTCTTAATATTCAAATAATCCTGTATTGTTTTCAAAATGTTCATCATGGTTTGAAATAGTCATTTCCTTAATATACCTTGATTCCTTACTGCTTATCTCACAAGAAGTTTTAGAAGTGATCCACAAACCTTCCAAAAATCTGGTTCATAGTCATAGTATTGCTAGGACTTCTTGGTTGGATCGATCTGTATGTGTGCCCTATGTACTCTCTTCTAACCCTCTCAAATCACCAGACATGGAACAGCCTAGAAATGAGAAAGGTGTCATACTCTTCTTTGTACCCCAGCACCCAAACATAACTCAAGGTTCAATATGAACTTAACAATTGTTTAATGGCCTATGTTAATCTCTGCTAAAAGCCCATTTAAAATTTTATGCTGTCAAAACCTAGCTTTTTACTATGATCATTGAAAGAGTATGAAACATTTTAGACATAAAAAAGGTAAAAGGTAATTTGGCAATTTTTGTCACTTTCAAATTGAGAGTACTTTTAACCACAAATGAATATTTATCCAGTTTTTGAGAGCAATTGGCTTTGTTGAAATTTTTTAAAAATTAAATGATTAAAAAAGTATAATAGAGAAAATTATTTTAAAACCACAGTTTTGCTGGGTATAGTGACACATGACTTTAATCCCAGTGACTCAGGAGGCTGAGGCAGGAGGATCATAAGTTTTAGGCCTGCCCTCAGAACCTTAGTGAGATCCTGTTTCAAAATAAAAAGGGCTCGGGATGTAGCTCAGTGGTCAACCCCCACAACCCCCCTTCAATTTCCAGTACCACCAAAAAAAAAAAAAAAAAGTGTGTGGGTGTGTGTGTGTGTGTGTATATATATATATATATATATATATATATATATATAATTATTTTTTAAAATCACATGTTTAGAGAGAGAGAATAATGTTTTCAAATTTTTATTCTTAAAGGATTGTAACACTAAATTTGACCTTTTTCTCTTCTTTAGAGGCGTATTTGTCAAAGGCAGAAATTTTCAAGAACAAAGAAAACACTGCTTTGGCAATTCTAAATTATACCCTGGCAATTAAGTGCAGGCCCACAGAAGCTGATAGCTATTTCAGGAGGGGTGAGATGCATGAAAAAGCAAACAGAGTACTGGCCATTGATGACTATTCTAAAGTAAGCTTTATTACATATATATATATATATATATATATATATATAT